ATCCAATGTAGATCCATCTTTCTATGCACGCGGGGGATCCGGGCGGTCCGGAGGTGACCACCACTGCTCCTCTCTTCTCGAGAATCCATACATCCCTTAGGAACTTTCATCATCAATGGTATCTCAGTCATTCGGTGTCCCAGACATGGTGTTCAATTCGATTGATTCCAACGTCAATAACGGTGGTTTCGGAAACTCGAGTCAGTGGGCATCACAGCCACAGTTTCAGAGAAAACGGACTTTTACCAAGGTATGTTCCTAAAGCAGCAAAGTTTTTCTTCTTTTTTTTTTGTTCTATCTTTGTTGGTAATAAAATGGTTTACACAGTTACACTGTCTCCTTTACTTGAAGGTGTACAAACGTGGGGCGGTTGGGCGATCAATTGATATAACCCGTTATTCCGGATACAATGATCTCAAACAAGATCTTGCTCGTAGATTTGGAATAGAGGGTCAGTTGGAAGACCGAGGAAGAATCGGCTGGAAGCTCGTATATGTGGATCATGAGAACGACGTCCTCCTCGTCGGAGATGATCCATGGGAGTAAGTCCCCTTCTCACAATAATAACCTAACAATCTTTTTTCTTGTCATTCCGATAAATATATATTTCGATGAATAACTCTGTTTTCGGATATAATCTCGGGTAATCGCAGGGACTTTGTAAACTGTGTAAGATGCATCAAAATCCTTTCGCCACAAGAAGAGCTCGACGGCGACTTTGGAACCTCAGGACTTCACAACCAAGCTTGCAGTAGTTCCGACAATGGAGCCTGAAACCCGTCACAGTTCTTGCCTCGGAATCACTTTTATCGATCGCTGATACTCTCCCTGGTTTTCGTCTAATCGCTCGGGAGCTCGGAATCTTTTCATTATTCAGATATGAGATCAAAGGTAGTGACGTCTTAACTTTAGGAACTTAGAAATGGATGGTTTCCTCTGTGGTTTTTTAGGGTTCTTGGAGATGGAACTTGATCACTGTGGGATGAAGGATTTAAGTGTATAAAAGATTACTGTAGGTTAATGTGTTGTGTTTTCATATTAATGTTTTACCATATGACGATGATCTTATATTATGTCCGAGCAGACTTCACAATTTCTTGGTTGTATTTTTTTTTTGGTCCTCCTTGTAATCGATTTCTAACACCAATTAACGATTTCTAAAATTGTAACGACATATTTTATAAATTTAGTAATTATAATAATATATTTTATAAGTTTGGTAATAAATTCGTTAAACGAAAAGTTTAACAATTTATTTTTCATCATTATATAAGTTTATAAATTTTTATAGGTTTTATCTTTGTACCCAATTTAGAAAATCTGCCCAATATTGTCTTTTGTATCTAGGTTTGGATCTTACTTTATTTTATATTAGATTTTTTAAAAATAATTTGGACTAATTTTTGGCTATATTTTTCTATATTTTATAATACATTTCTAACTAATGAATTTTTTCACTAAGTGTGTATGTATTATATCATCAAACTTTGGACGTTTCCGTTTCAATGTCCATTATTGGAACAAAACGTGAAACGAGAGAGTAAAAATTAGGGGTGTGCGTTTCGGGAAACGGTTCGGGTTCGGAACGAAATAGATCGGTTCGGTTCTTTCGGTTTTACAAAAATAGGTACCAATCGGGTTTTTTATTGTATTCGGTTCGGTTCGGTTTCGGTAACGGTTCGGTTCGGTTCCGGGTTTTATTAAAAAAATGATAGATTTCCTTTAAAAATAATCGGTTTTTTGAGATTTTTAAAGTTTGGTTCGGTTCGGTTCGGTTCGGTTCCGGAAAAATTCGGTTCTCTAAAATTGGTACCGTTCGAGAAATAACAGCGGTTTCGGATCGGAAAAAATATCGTTTTAACGGTTCGGTTCGGTTCGGTTCCGAAGAACCGAACCGAAATGTCAAGCCCTAATAAAAATGGTTAAAGAGAGAAAAAAAAGAGGAGAAAGTTATGGTAAAAAATGAAAATATATTAAATTAATTATTTTTCGTTTTAACGAAAAAGGAAAAACATTTCTAGAAAATTTTAATATATAATTTTAATTCTTGCAATCTATTTAATGTTGGACTTTCATATGAATTTTATCGATAATCTTATCCTTAATCAATTTAACATTTTTTTTACAAAAGCTCACGCGATATCGTCCAGTCCTTTACTACAACGATATCAACATCTTTCCTCTTAATTATTTATAGTTGAAGTATTTAAAAGAATGCTTCAAAAAAAAATTCTTTCTAAAAAGTATATAATTAGTTTTATATCTTCAAAATTAATTTAAGTTAGGTTTTCATAAAAATTTTAAATTTAATTTGAAATTTTAATTAGAGAAAAAACCCTCAAAATTACCGAACTTGTAATTTGGTATAATATAAATTCCTGAACTTGTAGAGGTGTCTATTAATTCCCAAACTTAAAAAATTGAACATGGAAATTACTCAACTTGTTAAACCGTTCTATAACCGTCCTTAAGATTAATTAGTCAAAAAATCGCGTTGACCTGTCCAACGTGGCATGTAACGTGTATGGCCAGTTCAGAAAAATTTTGCCACATATGCGATTTCCGGTTTTTTGAGAAACCGTGGTAAATCAACCGGATTGAACAGTAAACCGAGCTTTCTGGAATCGGTTAACATAGATATAACCGGTGAAAAAAATCTAACCCTAAATCTTATTCACTTTCGCCCAAATCGACTGGAACCAAAATAACTTTTCATCACTCTCTCATCGTCAATCTCTTCGGTACCGTATCATCGGCAATCTCTTCGGCGAAGGACCATTCATCTAATCTCAGGTTTCGAAATCACCAGAACTCTATTAGTTTGTCTTTCTCTTGGGTTGTTTTTGTGAGCCATGTTGGTTATTTTCTTTTTGGGGGATTTTGAGCTGGATATGAATTGCTATCGGGTTTAATTTGATGGAATATGTGTATATGGTGATAGGTTTAATATAGTAGGATTGTATATATGGTTTTGGGTTTAATAGGAATTTGACGTACGAATCAAATGGTTGTTTTTTTTTTTTTGGTTCTGTGAAATGTGTACCAGTTGTAGGGTTGTTTGTAGGGTTGTTTTTTTTATGAATATGATGTCGAGTTGTAGGGTTTTTTTTTCTTTTTGGGGGATTTTTTTGTTTTTTGATAGGACGAAAGGGAATTGTTCATCTGAGGGTGGAAGGAGTTCTTCAACATCCAGTGCACGATCAAGTCGGAGAAAAGGACGACAAGTGAACGCAAGGTTTATCCATGGAAATGTGAATGTGGATGTGACGTTGTGAGATTGATATCGAAAACAGAGAATAATCCCGGAAGAGTGTTCTTCTGTTGTGAGAAACATGAGGTATTGGTGAAAAATTGAATGTATATTTCAATTGGTTTATGGTTTATCTGATCTTGTTGGTATAATATTTCAGGGAAATTTTAATGACTTCTTCAAATGGTTTGATGAGGTTATGGAAGACAAAATGGACAATTTTGATGAAGGATTAGAAAGAGTAGTAATGGATATGGAAGCATACAAACTGAGGATGAGAAAGATGGAAATTGAGTTGGAAGAGTACACAGTGAAGACGAGAAACTTGGAGGTTGAGTTGGAAGAGTACAAGGAGAAGACGAAAAAGTTAGATGATGTGTTGGAAGACTACAAAGGCGCGATGCTTAAATTTATGGTAGTTGTCGTAGTTGTAGTTATGGTAATTACATATTACTATCGACTATTGTCGGTTTGAAAATTTGTATGAAGTGGGTCGGTTGTAGTATTTTGGTAATATTGGGATTTGATGATGTATCAAATGGCTTAGGGTTCTGAGGATATGTGTAACTTATTGTGGATCTTGTAATGTTAATTGAACATGTATGAAATTATGGTGAAGATTAGTTTGTTTTGATATATTTGCTTAGTTTGTTTGATAAAATTTAGAGTTGATAAAATGCAGATGCATTTGAAGAGAATGTAATAAATTATACAGAAACAGATTGTATTATGTCAAGTAGTTAAACACAGGTTTAGGGCTTACAAAAAAAGAACATGTCTTAGAGCATTTGAACCTTACAAAATATCTAAACCCTGGAACATTAGAACATGAAATCTAGACCCTGCACCGGGAACTAGATATGGGTTGAACTATATCCAAAAAATAATTTCAGATCTAACATCCAAAAAACGACCCTTTGAACCACCAAACACCACTAATAGTTCAACATATACAAAACATTATCTCATATCCAAGCTAAATCCTAACATCTTTCTGAAGATGCGTTGTTGCAATCAGGATCTTGGTTGCCTGGTGGAACTGGTCTTGGGGCTTGAAATTGTCTAACTGAAGTAACTATGCGCCTTAGTCTGCGAGGAGGATGGATTGTTGATTGCACCGTCTGGCTTGATTGGGTCGACATATCCGGATGAGAGGAAGCTTCAACAGACGGTTGTGGCTGAGGTGTATTGGGTCGGTTCCTTGATTCTCCTTGCACCTACATTGACAAATGAAGTTAAACAAGATTTATATTCAAGTGATTGTGAATCATATGGGTTTACAAACCTTTCTCGGTCGACCTCTTCCTCTTTTACAACCATAGATTGTAATTGGTTCGTTTCTATACCCTCTTGCATTATGTCCCGTCTGTTTATAGAGACTGCAAAGTCATTTGTCTTCCGTGTTTAGTCATGTGCCCAGATCTTGTACTCGACTCACATGGTTCCTTCCTCCGACTAATTTTTTTGGGTTGACCCGGCATAGACCGCTTGTTTGGTACACCAATCGCAGACATGTTAGTTTTCTGCCAAAGAACTTGTCTATTCATAGGGTTGATGTTATGTGCATATGTTTCAACCCACTGAGACGTCATATTCGGATATGTAACTGTCCATAAAACATAATCAGATTACATTAGTTAGACTAGTATTTATAGAATATGAAAAAATGAGTTTCTGTACTTACTTTGAAACTTCTTCCTGCTTCTTGTTTATGATGCACAATGCATGTTGACAAGAAATTCCTCTTAGGTCCCATTCATGACAAGTGTATCGCTTTCTGGCAAGATCAACTGAGTAATTCATTCCAAACTCTTCCACTTCGCATTGTCCACGTGCACTTGGTATATTTGTGCAAAACCGTGTTTTTTGTCGGGCTTGTTCCAACTTCTTCATATAATGATGAGTAAACTCAGTCAAGCATCTCGTTGCATACCTCGACCGTTTGGCATTACGATGCATTATTTGTTTACGTATCATCTCCAACATATCTATCATCGGCCTCAACTGTGCCTCTCTAATTGTCTGGTTGAAACTCTCTACCAGATTGTTAACTACATCGTCACAACGCGAGTCAGGTTTGAAGAAGGCTCGAGCCCATTGATGTGGTTCTACACATAAAACAACTTCATATGCAAGTTCATTCAATTTTTTCATTTCTTGTAGTTGTGCACATAATGAGCTTGGTGATAGCTTGCAACAATGCTCCAAAAGATACGCTTATAAACCGAATCCTTGTAGGTTTTCCTCCAGTGCGCATAAACGTGACGAGTACACATACGATGCTCGGCAAATGGCAACTCGCATGTGACAACATTCAACAAACCCTGTAAAACAAGAACCAATTTACCAATTGAAAAACGTGAAAGACAAACTGATAAGTAAATCAGTAAATGAGATTACCTTTTGCTTGTCCGAGGTTATTGTTAATTTCTCTCATTCACCGAGGTCCAAATCAGATTTCAGTTTTTGAATAAACCATAACCAATTCTCAATGTTCTCTATACGCACAACTGCCCACGCAATGGGCTAGATACCGTTATTAGCATCCCTTCCACGACTGCTATAAGTTCTCCTTTTAACTCCCATTTCAAAAAGCAGCCATCCAATCCAATGATAGGTCGACAACATTTTTTCCACGTATCACGTAACACATGGAAACATATATAAAACTGATCAAAGACTTCTTTATCATCTTTTGTCTTCAGACCTATCTCAGTGGTTATGTTCGGATTTGACCTCCTAAGCTCAGCCTCGTAATCCCACAGTTTTGCAAATTGCACTTTTTGTTCTTCGGTTACCATTTTAGCTGCAACACGTCGAACCTTAGAGCATTTGCTCTTCGACATTATCAAACCATACCTCTCTACCAATCCCACTCTAATGTCAATAACTCTAAGTCGTGGATTCCTCCTCATGTCCTCCTTGAAACGTTCAACAATATGATACATATTCACCATCGGTGCATGTCCATTTGGATGGTGGTTGTGTGTTGGATAATATGTCTTGATCACCCACTTGTTCAAAGATGTATCAAGTGTATAATACACCTTCCACACGCACTTTTTACGCCTACAGTTAGCTGAATACCTCGTCTTTGAAGACTTCGTCATCCTAATGTTGAACTGCGTGTCAAAGACATAGTCAACCAACGTCTTTTTGAACTCTTCCCCGGAATTAAATGTTTTTCCGAGATAAAGATGTCGTTTATCTCCTTTTATCCGACCACTCTTCACTGGTTTCTCGAAAGACCGCCACTCCTCATCCGTGTTTAGAGGTGATTCGGGAAACGCATCTTCATCGCCTCCATAACATTCATTAGAATCACTGTTCTCCTCTGCTTCATTCTCCGCGAATTCCATATACTCAGCTCGTCCTCACCCCTACCTTCATCATTAACATTGCCAAGGTCTTCATAACTGGCAGTTTCAAAATCATCATTACCATTACTACCGCTCTCAGAATCGGTAGAATCCTCACGAGCTTCTTCTTCACTTTCATTGTTTTCAACTTCCTCATGCTCGATAAACATATCGATCTCTATCGATTCTGCTACAATCTTATTCAACTCGCGAAATTCATACCTACTTTCTCTATGACTTATCACCCTCCTATCCTTATATGCTCTCTCCGGTAACTTGTACGACAACTGATACGTTGGCGGATAAACGTTCCTTAACTCTACGATATTCTCAAACAGGTCCCATGACAGATTATGGGAGGAGGGGGTTTCACTAAACACTTGCGCCTTTACTCCGCCAATGTACCCCACATTTCCATCTTCGCCATAATCTGTACACCCGCCGAAAAGTACATTCACTATAACCCTGGAAGAAGCAGACACAGAACCAAGATTTAAACCCACATATATTTTATGTAGAATCTGAAACAAATCATTCTTAACCCTAATTTCAACACACCCAAGTATGTCTTCACAACACAAATCAAAGAAGAAGAGTAGAACAGAACCGACAAACCTCATATCTTCAAATTCGGAGTCGAATCTGAAGCAGCCCCAACCGCAATTTGACGGAGGAGAAGACCGAGAACACCCTATCGCCAGTCAGCAGATCGCCTAAACAGCCGTCGACTGAGAATGCCGACTTAAACGGTGAAATCACCGACGATTTCCGAAGAAATCGCCGATGACAGGGGTAACTAGATTTAGGGTTTCGATGGTCGGGTTTCTTCTCGAGTTTTCGGTTTCGATTTGGGTGGTAAATGTGAGTTTTTTTTTTTATGTTTTACAATTACTTAACCGGAAAATGTTACTGTGCACCGGTTATATCTATTTTAACCGATTCCATGAAATCCCGGTTTACTGTTCAATCCGGTCGAATTACCATGATTTCTCGAAAAACCGCGAACTGCATATGTGACAAAAATTTTCTGAGTTGACCATACACGTAACATGCCACGTTGGACAGGTCAACGTGGTTTTTTGACCAATTAATCTTAAGGACGGTTATGGAACGGTTTAACAAATTGAGTAATTTTTATGTTCAATTTTCTAAATTTGAGAATTAATAGATACTTCTACAAATTTAGGAATTTATATTACACCAGTTCGGAAATTTTGAGAGTTTTTTCCTAAAATTATTTTCGTATATTTCCATCGAAAAAAAAACCCACATGGGCGTATTTTTTTCTCCATTAAAAACTAAGGAGCGCATTTCTCACAGGCTTTGTACTTGTTCTTGGGCTTATGGTGTTAGGGCTTTTCTTCTTCTTCTTTTTCTTTTTGCTCCTGCAAAAATTTTCAAATATTTTCTTCTCACTCGCCTCCAGTTCTACTTCAGCCGCTTGATTGGATTTTTACCAGTTTACGAATCCATTTCTCGTTTTTTTCTTGACTCGATAAACCCTGATTTCGTCCCGAGTGGGTACTGACTCGGTAAACTTGTCGTTTTATTTCGTCTCAGAATTAGCTGGAGGTTAATTGCGTGCTGGTGTTGATGTTTGAGCTGGAAGAACTTTGTTAAGCGTTCTCTCGTATGGTGTTATTTAGCTTTTTGTGTTTATTGTTACTTGTAATGTAGAGTTTGCGCGCGCGTGTGTGTGTGATCATGTCTGATTTCGATTTGTCACATCGTTCTGCGTTTATCTCGTTTGAAGGTGAAGGAGCTGATGCTAATTCCTGTAATTTTTTTCCCTCCATTTTAAGCGTGAATAGGTTTTGCAGCGGAATTAAATCTGAGCTTTGAGAAGACAGTTTTTGAAAATGGAAGATTCAGGGGCACTCGGCAAAAGAAAAACACCCGAGGAATCGAAGGTTTCTGACAAGTCGACACAAGATTCTGCAACAAAACGTAGAAATCAAACTCGGACATGTGTTCATGAAGTTGCTGTTCCCAGCTGTTATACATCAACAATGGATGAATCAGTACACGGGACACTTGCTAATCCCTTGTTCAATGGAGAGATGGCCAAAACATACCCTTTTGAGCTTGACCCTTTTCAGAGAGTATCTGTGGCATGCTTAGAAAGAAACGAATCGGTTTTGGTATCAGCACATACTTCAGCAGGGAAAACTGCAGTGGCAGAATATGCCATCGCTATGGCATTCAGAGATAAGCAGAGGGTTATATATACTTCCCCCTTGAAAGCTTTGAGTAATCAGAAGTACAGGGAGTTACATCACGAGTTTAAAGATGTTGGTTTGATGACTGGTGATGTCACACAGCAGGAAAAACTGCAGTGGCAGAATATGCCATTGCAATGGCATTTAGAGATAAGCAGAGGGTTATATATACTTCCCCCTTGAAAGCTTTGAGTAATCAGAAGTACAGGGAGTTACATCACGAGTTTAAAGATGTTGGTTTGATGACTGGTGATGTCACACTCTCGCCTAATGCGAGTTGTTTGGTCATGACGACAGAAATTCTGAGAGCGATGCTTTATAGGGGATCAGAGATTTTGAAGGAGGTTGCTTGGGTTATTTTTGATGAAATTCATTACATGAAGGACAGGGAAAGGGGAGTTGTTTGGGAAGAAAGTATCGTGTTCTTGCCACCGGCTATTAAGATGGTGTTCCTTTCAGCAACAATGTCAAATGCAACTGAATTTGCTGAATGGATTTGTTATCTGCACAAACAGCCATGTCATGTAGTATATACAGATTTCAGACCAACACCTCTGCAGCATTATGCTTTCCCTATGGGTGGGAGTGGACTATACCTAGTGGTTGACGAGAATGAGCAATTTCGGGAGGACAATTTTATGAAGATGCAGGATACTTTTCCAAAGCAGAAACCAGGTGATGGGAAAAAGAGCTCGAATATCAAAGCAGGAGGAAGAGTTGCTAGAGGTGGGAATGGCTCGGGGGGCTCTGACGTATACAAAATTGTAAAGGTATCTTTTTTTTTTCTCATGTTTGATCTGAGTCTGAGGTTTCTTAGGGAGCCATGTTCTCCTGATTCTATGCATAATTTTCCCTTGTAATATGGGTTGCTTGTGATGCTGCATTTAGGGATCGTACTAGCATTAGACCATTTGTACTTTCTAGTTCAGAGGTTGTCAAATTCTTCTCAGGCACATTAAATAGTTGTTCTTTTGAACTTTCTGTTTGCAATGAGATGGCACAAAAATTGTAGAAAAACCCTCAAATTTTATCTTGTGATAGCAAGCAGTGGAACTAATGCCATCTTTACTGTAAGATATCGAATAACACTTTTCTGCTAACTGGTATTGTAAGCAGTGCTCTTTGTTTATGCTTCAGATTCATTTCCCTTGTGGTAGACTTGTTCAAATCACATTGTTGTCATAAACATCCTTAGTTTGTTTGTTGTTTCCAAAGGAATGTTTTCTATTATCGCAGATGATCATGGAAAGACAGTTTCAACCAGTCATCATCTTCAGCTTCAGTAGAAGAGAATGCGAACAACATGCATTGTCAATGTCCAAGCTTGATTTTAATACGGATGAGGAGAAGGAGGCTGTAGAACAAGTGTTTAATAATGCTATTCTGTGTCTGAATGAGGAGGATAGATCTTTGCCTGCTATTGAACTGATGTTACCTCTGCTCCAACGAGGTATTGCAGTTCACCACTCTGGCCTTCTTCCTGTTATCAAAGAATTGGTGGAACTTCTTTTCCAGGAAGGACTTGTGAAGGCCCTGTTTGCCACAGAGACTGTAAGATGTTTTGGGCATTATGTTATAATTATGAATTGTTCGTTGTGTATTTGTTCTCTGCACTAATTCAGTGGCATTCTACTTTCCGTTCTTCTGTATCAGTTTGCTATGGGTTTGAACATGCCTGCAAAAACTGTTGTATTTACAGCTGTTAAAAAGTGGGATGGTGATAGCCATCGATACATAGGGTCTGGTGAGTATATCCAGGTGAGTGATCCTTGGTTGCTGTTGCTGAGATCTTGGAGGAGTGCCTCGGTATGAAGTTTTCATACTTTCTAACTTATACTTCAACATTTTAGATGAGTGGCAGGGCTGGACGTCGTGGGAAAGATGAACGTGGTATCTGCATTATAATGATTGACGAACAGGTCGTAATTTTTGGAGAATTTTTTTATTCTCGGGATTTCTTTTCATTGAGACAGCCTGTTAAACTTTTTCCATTTATCGGAATATTTGGGCATTTTCATCTGTTTATTGAACTCTAATGCATATGATATAGCGATATATGCACAGAGGAAATATGCAGTTAGGCGTATTATAGCCTTTATTCGTCCAAGATGGTTAGGTAAAGAGAATTCTCACTGATGCCTTTGTGTGCTCTTCAACAGATGGAGATGGATACGTTGAGGGACATGGTGTTGGGTAAACCGGCCCCTTTGATTAGTACCTTCAGATTGAGTTACTACACAATCCTGAATTTGATGAGCCGTGCTGAAGGACAATTTACAGCTGAGCATGTCATAAGGCATTCGTTCCACCAATTCCAGTATGAGAAGGTTTCTTGCAAACCGATCTCTCGTTTTTGCTCATGATATTTGTTTTATTAGCCTTTATTTTATGTGCTTATTTTCCATTGGTGTACCTCTCACAGGCCTTGCCTGACATGGGGAAAAAGGTGTCCAAGCTCGAAGAAGAAGCCGCTATACTTGATGCTTCTGGAGAGGTGCTCATCAATGTTTCATATCTGGCTTTTATAAAACAAGTCAATTCCGACTTTTCATTTTTGTTTTTCAGGCTGAGGTTGCCGAGTACCATAAGCTAAAACTTGACATAGCTCAACTTGAGAAGAAACTGATGTCAGAAATAACAAGACCTGAAAGGGTGCTTTGTTTTCTTGATACTGGTCGGCTGGTAGGTCTTGAAAAAGTTCATCTGATCAGTTGTTGAGCAATTACTTTTACTCCATTTTGTTTAAAACTTATCAATTTGTTTCTATCTTATCTGTCCTTGGGAAACAATGTCTGTCTGAAAACTCTGATCTGCACCTCCTGATTGCTATTTACTATTCTACTCTAAATCTTCTGTATGCTATAAGATGATACTTATTAGCTTAGTAAGTCTTGCTGCACAAGAATGTTTTCCCGTTCTTCAGTTGTGTTCAGAAGTCGTACCTAGAAGTTTATAGGTCAATTTGTTTAGAGGATTGATGTTTCCGGTTGTCAACAAATCTCTTTCATGGTTTATCCGATTTTATTAAATCTATTCTATGAATGAATAATACTATGTAAGTGGAAGTGACATGCTATATTAGGCTCCTATATGAGAAAGGTTACAAGTAACTTACCGTCACAAGTGTTTATTCGCAGATCAAGATACGAGAAGGTGGTACAGACTGGGGTTGGGGAGTTGCAGTTAATGTTGTGAAAAAGCCTTCAACAGGAACTGGTTCTGCCCCTTCACGGGCTGGTGGATATATAGTGGACACTCTGCTTCACTGCTCTACTGGTTCTAGCGAGAATGGTGCAAGGCCAAAGCCATGTCCTCCCCGTCCTGGGGAAAAGGGTGAGATGCATGTGGTAAGCACCAGCTTCTACATAATTAGACTTAAATTAAATTAGCACTGCTAGATTTTCAATATTGCGTTTCTGCCATTTTCAGGTTCCTGTTCAGCTTCCCTTGATTTCTGCTTTAAGCAGACTGAGGATATCGGTTCCTTCTGATCTTCGCCCTCTGGAAGCAAGACAAAGCATACTGCTTGCAGTGCAGGAGTTGTCAAGTCGCTTTCCTTTAGGCTTTCCAAAACTCCATCCAGTTAAGGTAGTTTTCTGTAGTAAACAAATAGGTTTCTTTTGAGCTATTACTATTATGTTTTCTTTGATGAGCTTAGGATATTGTTCTCTGTGGCAAACACTCAGTTCGAGGGTGCATGAATCTTGTGCTTGCTGGTTTTCTGTCTGGGGAATTTTTACATTAGGATAAAATGTCTGGAATGGGTGGCATAACTGTAAGTACGTAAAATTGTTTCCCCATATGCATATGCAGGGTTCATTGTTCTCCAATTGTGTGTTGTGTTTGCTGCTAGTTTTCGATTTTTGTGCTAGCAAAGCCTTGGCAGACTGCATGATATTTAAGGTCTCTGACATGGATATAAACTGTTTTTCAGGATATGAATATTCAAGATACAGAAATTGTGGATCTGGTCAACCAAATTGAAGTCCTTGAGCAGAAATTACTTGCTCATCCGATGCTCAAGGTTTTACTGAATATTCAACTTTTTTTTTTGTTCTTGATTTTAAATGCAAGTTTAAGAGAGATGAGAACAATGTTCTTAAAAATGTAGATTAACAACTTAATCCAGTTATAAATTTGGGCCATGTTGTCTATGCTGCAGTCTCAGGATGATCAACAAATCAAGAGTTTCGAGAGAAAAGCGGAGGTGAATCATGAAATTCAACAAATCAAAGCAAAAATGCGTGATTCCCAGGTATTGTTCGTAATGCTCCTTAATGAATATATCTGTACTTACATAATCTTGAATTACCTATGTTCTGGTTGTTTAGAAATCATTTTCTTTGCCCCATCGGCGGTCAAACTTTCCTTCCAGTTGGAATATTAGCAGTGAAAGATTGGAAAATAGTTGTCCCTAAAGACTCTTAGATGTATTAATTTTTTTTCTCTTTGCAGCTCCAAAAGTTCCGAGATGAGCTTAAGAATCGTTCACGGGTACTAAAGAAACTCGGACATATAAATGCGGATGGTGTGGTCCAGTTAAAAGGAAGAGCAGCATGCTTGATAGATACAGGGGATGAATTACTGGTCACCGAATTGATGTTCAATGGTACGACATCTTTAGATACGTACCACTGAATTGGGGAATTTTTTTGCCACTTTTTCAGCCTCAACATTTTAGGTGAACAAGTGAGATTTTAAGGTTATTTTCGAGTTTCACTTACTTGCCAATGTATGCATAACTCTTCTTGTAGGAACTTTCAATGACCTTGATCATCACCAAGTTGCATCCCTTGCAAGTTGTTTCATTCCCGTAGATAAATCAAGCGAACAAGTAAATCTGAGAAATGAACTTGCAAAACCATTCCAGCAGCTCCGGGATAGTGCTCGAAAGATCGCAGAGGTATACTTGTTTGCCTCTCTGAGATGGAAAGCATTTTTCCCGTTATTTTCATCTTGTTATTGTTTATAATTCTCCTCTTTGTGCGATGGCAGATACAACATGAGTGCAAGCTAGAAATTAACGTTGATGAGTATGTTGAATCGACTGTCAGGCCTTTCTTGATGGATGTTATCTACTCTTGGTCAAAGGTTGGTAAAATATTTTAAGCTCCAAACTTCTGATATTGATATTGCCAAAAAGTTTAATATATTTATAGCTTATATATGGGTACAAAAAGCTAGGGGTGGCCATTTGATTTCGTGATTTGATTCAGGTTCAGTTTGATTATTTCGGTTTTAAGAAAACTAAACCCATTGGGTTTTAATATTGCATACGGGTTGGTTCAGTTGTTTTGTTAGGATTCATTTTTTTAATAAAATCCTCATTTTTGAAAGAAATTTTCAGTTCTTTCTATGTTCGGTTCGTGTTGGTTAGGTTATGTTTGGGTTCGATTATTTCGATTTTAGAAAAACTATAACCATTTGGTTTTAATAGTGAATTTGGTTCGGTTTAGTTTCTATTTGGGTTTTGATAAAATATTCATTTTCTAAAGAAATTACTGGTTTGTTTTAGTTATTTTTATATTCTATCCGGGTTTGGTTTTTTCGAATTTACAGGAATTACACCCATTCGGTTTTTATATCGGATTCTATTCGGATATAGTTGTGTTATTCGGTTTTGTATAACCGAACCGAAATGACCACCCCAACCAAAAAACTACCACCATCTCAAGATAACTGTGGCACCTGCATATCGGATTCATTCTTGTTGAAGAAAATACCCTTTTTGCTCTTATTGTTGAAACTCTTCGTTAAGTTACTTGCCCATTACGGTGCGTTCCATTGTTTTCTGATCTTCTTCTCCCATGTGTCTACTCTGATAGGGTTCAAGCTTCGCAGAGGTTATACAAATGACGGACATATTCGAGGGCAGTATCATTAGGAGTGCTAGAAGGCTTGACGAATTCTTGAACCAGGTTACTTTTTCCAGTCAATTTTTTTTCTTCATAATCCTATTGTTTACATATAAGAGAAAACAAACAATAGCAAATATAATCTTAACTAAGATATGAAGGGAAGTAGAAATACTGCTGACAGGAGAAATGTCGTAACTGATTAAACTTCTCGGAGGCCTACGGTTACGTTGCTCTGAAAGCTCTTTTGTTGTTTGCTTGACACTTTTGGTCGGCGGTTTTTCAGTTACGAGCAGCGGCCAGCGCTGTCGGGGAGAGTGGTCTGGAGAGCAAGTTCGGAGAAGCAAGCGCAAGTTTGAGGCGAGGTATTATGTTTGCCAATTCTCTTTATTTGTGAGTCCTCTCTTTCGCAGAGTACTTCAGTAGAAAACTTTCTCTAGAATCCTTTATAACAAAATTTTCCTACGAGTGTTTCTATTGGGGTGGATACGAATCGGGTATCCGAAAAATTTAGGTATTCGTGTATTAGAATTTGACACCCGCCCGTATTCATATCCGAGGGTCTGGTGTACATGAACTAATGTTTGGGTATCCAAACCTATCTGAGACTCTAACCGAGAATTTGCATTTAAGTGTGAGAGAGTCTGAGAGGTGAGAGAAATCGAAGTCGGATTCGAACCTGAGAAACCAAAACCCTAACCCGCCAAAGCTCGAGAGCAAGAGACTCGACCCGAGGGGCAATGGACAGTGGTGAGGTGAAATGAATACGAGAGAGTATCGTGCTAAAGTTCCTATCCTAATGGCATTTGACCGCAGTTGTCGCAAAAACGTGAGGTATTTTTGTGTTTTTATTGTGTGTGCTTATATATGGGTTCGAATACAACTGTTGGAATGTCGGCCAATGTGAATAGATGGTGAACCCGAACCTGGTGGAGTTTTCGTTTCGAAACCCGTCAATGGTTTCGTGACCACGATGGCTAAGCCCGGGCAGCTCATCCGCCCTCACACCCAATGGCATAGACCTAAAATCGACTTTCCCCCTTGCCCAACCGCGGCCTGCCTCAAGGTTTCTTCGGCAACCGATGGACATGGGTTGGGTATCCTAATTTTTTCAGATATTCGTCCTCAGTCTCATAGGTTCGGATTTCTCGATCACACAACTCGATTTTAAAAATTTTCTTGTATTTTTTTTATTTTTATTAGTTTTTATATCTTTGTATTTTTTTAATAATTAATTAATTATTTTAATTTGAAAATGATAAGTGATTTATTTTAATAATATCGATGACGTGCCAATTTTTATTATGCGGCACTGACGTGTACGATTTTTCGTTAAAACTTTGACGGTGTTAGGGTTTATATATTAGTTTGCAAAAAATAAAAAATACATATATTTTTACAAAATTTGAAGTACATGTATTTATCTGCAAAATTTTTAAAAATGTGTAATGTGTGGTGATAATTCCAAATCATTGGCGATTATGTTAGTGGGACACGTGGCAATTTATGAGTGGACAAGCAATATATATAAAATGGAGAGAGAGCGAGTGAGCCAAGCCGGTAAACTGAGTTGCCTTCCCGAAGTCTCAACCGCGGAGGCGGAACCTTCACTCTCCCTGACTTGTTCTCTTTCCTTATAGC